GGGTCGGTGTTTATTCAGCAGGGTAAGGGTCACTCGCTGTGTAACCGCACAGGGTCGGTGTTTATTCAGCAGGGTAAGGGTCACTCGCTGTGTAACCGCACAGGGTCGGTGTTTATTCAGCAGGGTAAGGGTCACTCGCTGTGTAACCGCACAGGGTCGGTGTTTATTCAGCAGGGTAAAAATGACTCTTTTCTAAATTTTGCAGCTAATCTCCTTGATTGCTCGGAGCTGTCAGCCAGTCTCTCCTCGGGAGTTATTTGTGTTTGAGTTTGCTGTCGAAATGTCAAACAACATGGGTGAGATTAAAACTCATGCAGCTGCTGTGAAAGTGTTTCCAATCATTTTGGCTTCAAAAGTTTTTTTGAATCTTGTGCAGTTATTTTATTTTTACCTGTCTGACTGTGTATGTGCATGTCTCTTTCTCTGTCTGCCCACGTGATATCTCTCCCTCTCTCTGTCTCTTTCTCTCCCTCTCTCTGTCTCTTTCTCTCTCAATCCCCCTCCCTCCCTGCCCAATGCTTCCTGTCTCTGTGTCTCTGTCTCTGTTGTATGTCTCCTCTCTTCCTATCCCTATCCCCTGACCTCTTTCTCACCATGCACAGACCGCAGGCTTGTGAAGTCGAATGTTGAGCAGGAGGTTGAAGCAATGCGGATGTTTGAGACACACTTGGACTGGGAGTTTGAGCTGGCCAGGACCGGAGCGTTAGGTTGGCGTGTTAGCCTGGTCAATGAGCGATTTGAAGTTTCAGCAAGGTAATGTCACACCGAGATCATGCACATCCACAATCACAGAAACTCTGTCTCTCATCTCCACAGCTGACTCTCAAACTATTTGTCCAGTACCGTAGCCCAGCGTTACACAGCGACAGACCTGTCCCCACCGGTACCGTACCCCAGCGTTACACAGCGGCAGACCTGTCCCCACCGGTACTGTCCCGCAGTGTTATACCTGTAACCAGTAAAAGCAATTGCTGCCACCTAATTTTCCTGTACTTTAGTTTGTCTAAGGTTCTTGTGGTTCCACGGAAGATTCTAGACTTGGATATTAAGGAAGCGGGCGCTTACTTCAATGAGGGCCGTGTTCCAGTAAGTATTAAATGTGCTCTCGTGAGTTCTGGGCTGTTCTGCTATTGCTGTTTGTGATGGGTTTTTATTGATTTGTCCTCAGCGTTGGCACTGGCACCATGGAGGAAGTAACCTGATGAGAATGAGCAACTTTCAGAGTAACACGTACCCACAACGAGATGGAATCAGGTAGGAGCTGGTTTACCCTGAGAACAATGCTGCAATGCAAGGTATTACACCCCGAGTAAATCTATCCAATCCCCCATACCAGCCCCAATTCCACCCTGTCCCCACCATACCCTCCCAGGACAAGATCAGCACAGAGTCAGATACAGAGTAAGGCTGCCTCTACTTTGTTCCCCCACCAAACCCTCGCAGGGCAGAGACAGCACGGGGTTATTAGATACAGAGTAAGGCTCCCTCTACACTGTTACCTCACCAAACCCTCCCAGGGCAGGGACAGCACAAGGTTAGATGCAGAGTGAAGCTCTCTGTATTGTTGTGCCGCACCATCAGGGAGGTGTTGTTTGTTGGGTTTACAGTTTTCAATCCAACCTGACCTTTCAGTGTTTGCACATTTCCTTGTCATTGCTTGCTGTTAACTTCACATCTTTGCTGTGAGGTATTTGGTGGTTTCAGATCTTTCAGTGAGGTGTTTGGTTGGTGGTTTTCTTGTTGCCAGCTCCCTACATGTCCTTATTTGTTTGTCTTCTCCAGTAAGCTGGAGGAGCTGTTGTACGGAACACACAGTCAGCTGGTCATCGCTGACTTATCTGATGATTTACCAAATTCCCCAGAAGTCCAACAGGCGTACAGCAAACTGAAAACTCTGTGCAGCTGTGGTAAGCACACTGAACCCTCTCTGTCTCTCTTTGCTGTTGTTTTGGTCACTGCTGTCTGATCTGCAGGAATTGACTGGTGCTGTCTGTGTTACAGAGAATCCCAACTCCCTCAAGGACTCTGATGAGAAGTGGCTGTCGACTCTCGAGGCGACACACTGGCCTGAGTATGTGAGGTATGTGCCTAAAATGTGGAACAGGCCAGAGGCCAGGCCTGTCTATCACCTCTTACGCTCTCACAGCTTCTCCCCTGCTGTTATTAGATTTCTGAATGGACCTCTCAAATTTCAAATGTAATGTTGATCTTGCTGTTTGTGCACCTTCTCTGCAGCCGTAACATTGCATTCCTCGCTCTGTTCTATCAACCTGATACACTTTGTATGGTATGATCTGCCTGCAAAACAACACTTTTCACTGTACCTAGGTACGTGTGACAATAATAAATCAAATCAGAGTCAGAGTCTGAGAATGAACAGGACTGACAGGGAGCATTTAGCCATCCAGTTCCTCAGTAAATGTGCAGACAATGTGATCGTGACTGTAACTTTCTTTCTTCTGTTTCCCGAACCAGGCTGTGTCTAAAGAAGGCAAGTGAGATCTCCTCGCTGCTGAGTAACCAATGCCTGACCGTCACTCTGCAGGGTAAGGCACTGCCTTCCAATTCACACCCATATTCCATCAGCTTCACCCAGAGACTCACATTTGCAACAGCTTTCCCCAAGAGTATGGGGTCCCCCTCCCCTCCCAAAGGTGCTGACCCTCACTGGGATATGGGGTCCCCCTCCCCTCCCAAAGGTGCTGACCCTCACTGGGGTACGGGGTCCCCCTCCTGAAGGTGCTGACCCTCACTGGGATCCGGGGTCCCCCTCCCCTCCCGAAGGCGCTGACCCTCACTGGGGTACGGGGTCCCCCTCCCCTCCCGAAGGCGCTGACTCTCTGTGGTGGGGTTCTGAGAAGGGGAGAGAGGGGAGGAGTTGGCCACAGTGTCTCTTGGAGGTTGTTTACTGTGAACAGTGTTCCCACAGAGACAGATGACCGTGATCTGGCCTGCCTTATCTCTTCACTGGTGCAAGTGATGCTGGATCCTTACTGCCGAACCATCCTGGGATTTCAGAGCCTGGTGCAGAAGGAGTGGGTGGAGGCTGGTCATCGCTTCAGCGACCGCTTCAACCAGCTGCGGGCGACAGAGAAAGACGAGGTGAGAGGCTCCCATTCTCCAGACAGTCAGTGCTGCTCCTCAACTGCCCATTGAAAGGCAGTTCCCTCCTGACTCTGCAGCAGCTGGCTGCACAAGTGACAGACAGTTCACTGGCATTGCAGAGGCGAACAGGTACAGAAAGCTTTATCACCATCTCCTGGGATGTGGGCATCGCTTACATAGGCCAGCACTAATAATAAACCACATTGCTGTGGGTCTGCAGGTATAAGTTACCCAGGCCGGGTAAAGGATGGCAGGTTTCCACCTTTAAAAGGCATAAAGAAGCAGATCATTGGGGGGAGAAAAAAATCAACTGACAGTGGTTCCACATTCACCATTGGCTAGCTCTTTTATACTTCTTGTCTTTAGAACATGAAATCTGTGTTCTGGTTTGCAAGTCTGGTCATGTTACCACTCAGCTACAGCCTGTACCGTGAGAGCTTTACTCTGTATCTAACCCTGTGCTGTCCCTGTCCTGGGAGTGTTGATGGGGACATTGTAGAGGGAGCTTTACTCTGTATCTAACCCTGTGCTGTCCCTGTCCTGGGAGTGTTGATGGGGACAGTGTAGAGGGAGCTTTACTCTGTATCTAACCCCGTGCTGTCCCTGTCCTGGGAGTGTTGATGGGGACAGTGTAGAGGGAGCTTTACTCTGTATCTAACCCTGCGCAGTTTGGTTTTCGGTTTTCCTATTACACTCATCCTTGCTGAATTTCCTCGCTGTAAATCCCAGTTTAATCCTGTTTTCCAGTCTCCAGTATTCCTGCTCTTCCTGGACTGTGTTTGGCAATTGTTGGACCGTTACAGAGGCTTTTTCGAATTCACAGATCACTACCTAATTGCGCTACATGACAGCACCCACATCGTGCTCTTTGGCACTTTCCTGTTCAACTGTTCACGGGAACGGACCTATATTCAGCAGGTACGCATCTCGTAGTCTCTCACTCTCTTTCCCCGTCTGCACCTCTGCCTGCTTGGTCTCCCTCAATCTCTATCCCTCGCTCACTTTGCTCTCGGGCACTCTGTTGCTAGTTTCTCTCTGCTTTGCCTGATAATAGTATCTTTCTCTGTCTTCAGTCTCCCCCAACAGGTTTAAAGACTCGAATGATTCCTTTCGCCAATGACTGGTCGCTGTCTCGTAGTGCACAGCGTGGCCAGCAGGTGGTGCTGAAGGGAGGTTTCTTCACACGGGACAAGAGGAACTGTCCACTACCATCAGTCTGGGACTGGTCTCTCCAGTTTCCACCTGGGCACCAGCTGTTATTCAGAAATGCCCTGTATAGCAATGACACTCGACCCATGGCACAGAATGGGATGTCCCAACATAGCAACACTGACAAGGTGAGAAGTGTGAATGAAAACAGTCATTGCCCACTGATCCCTATATTAGAGAGAGAGGGGGGGAAATCAGCCAGGGTTCCTGTTCCTGGTCACTGCCCACTGATCCCTATATTAGAGAGAGGGAGGGGGAAAATCAGCCAGGGTTCCTGTTCCTGGTCACTGCCCACTGATCCCTATATTAGAGAGAGAGGGGGGGAAATCAGCCAGGGTTCCTGTTCCTGGTCACTGCCCACTGATCCCTATATTAGAGAGAGAGGGGGGGAAATCAGCCAGGGTTCCTGTTCCTGGTCACTGCCCACTGATCCCTATATTAGAGAGAGAGGGGGGGAAATCAGCCAG